TAGGTGTGGCAGAGACAGTGAGATTGGCACAGGACAGAGCAGGGTTTAGGGCTGTTGTTCATATGGTCACTATGAGTTGCAGGAGACTTGACAGCACATAACAACATCAGCAACAACAGTGTCACAGTGGTTACGCCCTTAGCTGCTAAGCAATAAGATAATTTGCTTAAACCCTCCACTGACTCCATGGGAGAAAAGATTTGTTGCTTGTTATCAAGCATATTTCAACACATAGAGACCATGCATTGTTTTTATTGGGTGCCATCAAGTCAATTGCAATTCATAACAACCCCATGAATAACACATCTGAAACTTGCCCTGTCCTGTACCATCCTCATCATGTCTGGTATGTTCCAAATCATCGTTACAGTCACTGTGTCAATCCATTTTGCTAGGGCCCTTTTGATCCTTCTCTGCCTTTTCATCTTTTCCATTAATGTTTTCCTTTTCCAAGTACTGACCCCTCCTGAAAACAAAAAGTTTGTGAGATGAAATTTACCATCCTTGCCTCTAATGAGCACACTGGTTGCACTTTCTCTAAAATAAGCTTGTTTGCTCCTTTGGCAGTCCATGGGATACTCAGCACTCTTCTCCAACACCACAATTCAAAGGCAATGATTCTACATTTGTCATTCTTATTCATTGTCTAACTTTTAGATGCAAAAACCCATGGCTATATGACCATATTGTTGTTGTTGTTGCTTTGTACCGTTGAGTGGAAACTTATTCACAGCTGACTCTCCAGAGTTTTCAGAGGCAATTGTATGCAAAGAGATCATCCATTTTGCTCCAGTGGAGCAGCTGGTGGATTTGAACTGCATACCTTTGTGTTGACAGCACCAGAGCTCCCTGTATGACTCTATAAGACTGAGTAAATCTAACCCAGTAGGTTCTCTAGGAAAAACCAAATTGTGTGCTGTTAAGACTAGCTCAGAATAGTCCTCTGTTGGGCTGTGTTTTTTTAATATTATTATACTAGTTCATTTATAAAATTAGAGTACATTGTTTTCACACCTGATTCTTCCAATTCCCCTCACTCCTCAACCATCAAATTGTAGAACCTCATGATTAACACCCCCAGCCCCTGCACATCCTCATCCTCCCATCCTCCCTTTGCTTCCACCACCCCCAACCCCCGAATCCTCATCCTCATTCTACAATAATTGTCCTTGTGGGACTGATTGAGTTCACTCGGCACAACGCTCTCCAGTCCCTCCCAAGTTACTTAATAATTTATAAAATCATTGCTCGTGAGTGCTGTGTAGTCATTATATGAATGTACCATAATTTCTCAATCCATGCAATTGTGGTTGGACATCTGGGCTGTTTCCATGTCCTTGCAATGGTGAACAACGCTGTTATGAACATTGGTATACAAGTCTCCATTTGAGCCTCAGTTCTAATTTTCTTGGAGTATATTCCAAGCAGTGGAATAGCTGAGTCATATGTAATATCTATGTTCAGCTTTTTGAGGAAGCATCAAACTGCTTTCCAGAGTGGCTGTACCATTTTACAATACATTCCAACATTTGTTACTTGCTGTCCTGTTAAACTTTGCCACTGTTACTGAGGTGAGATGGTATTTCATTGTGGTTTTGATTTGCATATCTCTTATTGCCAGTGATTTGGAACATTTCTTCTTGTGTATGTTTGCTATTCAAATATCTTTCTCTGTGAAAATTCTTTCCATGTCTTTTGCCCATTTTGTAATGGGGTTACCAGTCTTTTTCTTGTGGAAGATCAGGTCTGTTGGGTTTTTGAGGCTGTAAATCTTAGTAGGATTAGACTGCCCACCTTTTTCTGAGGAGCAGTTAATTTATTCAAACCGTTAAACTTTTTGGTTAACAGAGCAACATGCTGAGCACTCTGCCACCACTGTTACCCATAAAGATTAAAGCCTAAAAATCCTCTGAGAGATTTTCCCTTCCATTAGAGGGGCGGGCAGTTCTACTCATTGAGTTTGAATTGGTTTGAAAGAACACAAGAACATTATCTTTTATTCATATGTTTATTTCAAGCAGACAAAATTACTTTGTTTTATATGCATATCTTGCATTGGATTCCATCTTGCCTTTGTGTGAACTCTGGTGGTCTAGTGGTAAGAAGCTGTGTTGCAATCTCCAAGGCATGCAGTACAAATCCACCAACTTCTTTGCAGGAGAAAGATGGGCAATTTCCTCTCTTGCAATTAACTGCCTCTGAAAACCTACTAGTGGGTCAGCTATGGGTCTGTTCCAACTTGATGGTACAGAATAACAACAACATTTATGTTATGGCACAACTTAAAATTATTTTCTCTTCATATATTGATGTAACTGATATATTGTAAATATACCAATGTTAATAACTGAAACAATTATTTTAGCTTTTTAGTTATTTATTTACTGATGCAAAAGTGAAGAAATAAAGGAAATCTGATTTCTCCAGTGTTTATATCTTTTTGGACCATGTTAGGAACTTTTAAAATACGCTTATGACTCACACAACTCACTTTGTTGGCCCTAGGAACAAGATCTGAACTCTGTCAACACATTTGAGTCCATTGCTGCAGACACTGTACCAATCCATCTGGCTCAGGGTCTTCCTCTCCTTTGTCGACCCTCGACCTTTCCAAGCGTGATGTCCCTTTCCAAAGTATAGCCTCTCCTAACAATATGCCCAAAATATCCATATTTTTAGGGACTATATAAAATGGTATCTTCTGTTTCCTTCATGATTAACTACAGCTTTCATAAACTGGCATGTGTGTGGATGTTTATATGTGTGTGTGTATATATATATATATTTTAAATATATAGTTGAAAGCTGAGATACCTGCACACGTAAACAATTTCATTAAAAAGATATATATTCTAAAACACTAGTTTAAAAGTCTATTGACTTTTTATTATTGTTGAGGACCGTAGAGTCACAACTGATCCATAGCTGACCCTCCAGCAAGTTTTCAGAGGCAGTTAATTGCACGGGAGAAGACTGCCCATCCTTCTCCCACAGCACAACTGGTGGTCTCAAACTATGTGCCTTTGGGATTGCAACGCAGCTTCTTGCCACTAGGCCACCAGAGCTCCATTTGACTTTATATAGTCTAAAGTTAAGATGTCTAATTTTATCCATTGAAAATATTCAAAAAGGTAGGAGGCATCTCACTTCCTGATTTAAAATCCTACTACACTGCTGTGGTAGTCAAGACAGCACAGTACTGGTACAATGACAGACACATAGATGAATGGAATAGAACTGAGAACCCGGAAATCAGCCCATCTATTTATGGTCAACTGATTTTTGACAAGGAGATGAAATCAGTTAGGTGGGGAAATGACAGCCATTTTAACAAATGGCGTTAGCAAAATTGGAAAACTATCTGCAGAAGAATTAAACAAGATCCCCACCTCACTCCATATAAAAAAACCAACTCAAAGTGGATCATGGACCTAGGACTAAAACCAAGGACTATAAACTTCATTCAAGAAAAGCTTGGAAGAACTTTAGTAGTCCTAATACACAACATAACGAGTCTTCCAAATATTCTGAAAAATTTACAACCAGGAGAAGATAAAATAGATGAATGGGACCTTCTAAGAATCAAATCCCTATGCGCATCCAGAAACTTCTCTAACAGGGTAAAAAGGGAAGCCACAGACTTGGAAAAAGTGTTTGGTAATGACATGTCAGATAAGGGACTTATATCTAGAATTCATAAACTGCTTGAGCACCACAACAAGATAAAGGTAAATAATCCAGTTGAAAAATGGGCACAGGATATGAACAGACACTTCACCAAGGAAGACATTCAGATGGCCAACAAGCACCTGAAGAAATGATCAAAATCCCTAGCTCTGAGAGAGATGCAAATCAAGACAACCATGAGATATCCTCTCACCCCAGTAAGACTAGCAAAATTTAACAGAACAGCAAGCAACAAATGCTGGCGAGGTTGTGGAGAGACTGGAACCCTTATTCACTGTTGGTGGGAGTGTAAAATGGTGCAACCCCTGTGGAAAGCAATGTGGCGCTTTCTCAAAAAGTTGCAAATAGAGATACCATTTGACCCAGCAATTCCACTACTGGGAATATACCCTAAAGAGACCATAAATGACATCCAAGTAGATATATGTATACCCATGTTTATCACGGCTTTGTTTACAATAGCAAGGAGTTGGAAACAACCTAAATGCCCATCAACAAAGGAATGGGTAGAGAAGCTGTGGTATATTCACACAAAGGAATACTATCCTGCATTGAAAAACAAGGAACTCATGCAATATTATTCAAAATGGGTGACCATGGAGGACATTATGCTGAGTGAGGTATCTCAGTCACAAAGGGACAAATGCTATATGGTGCCACTGTTGTAGAATGAGACTGACATCGGCATGGGGGTAAGACTGAGAAAAACTGGATGAAATATGTTTACAGCATTGAAGTCTATGGGGGAGAGAATAGTTTAAAAGTATTATATTTTAGGGCATTAAGTTTATCGTAAGAGTACGGAATGAGGGTTGCAGAGTGGATTATATTTGGGGTTGGGGGATGTGCGGGGGGATTGTGTACCAATGAGGGAGTTTTTCTTTTGCTTTTCAAGGAGAGGAGCAAACGGGGGTGGGGGAGGAGGGGTGGGTTTGGCGGGGAGAAGGGTGCAACAATGAATGAATGGAATTCCAAAATCTCTGTAGATGTTCATTGAAATGAAAAATAAATAAATAAAATTTTTAAGAAAAAGATGTCTACTGACTATTTTAAAGTCTATTGACTTTTTCCATAGTCCTTTTAACTTAACTCTAGACCACAGAATTATTGAAGTTACTGAGAAAACATAGAAACAAGTTAATTATTCAATGTGCACTGAGTTAGAATGTTGTATCAGAAAATTAATTAGGTACTAGAAATGATAGATATGATTGCAATTGTCTGCCAGGAATTTATAGCTTCTAGACCTAAAGTAAAATTTTAATGTTCTTGTCATATCATGTAAATTCTAAGCAATTTTTTGGAAATCTTACCTTTCTGTCTTCTAACAAAGCCCTCTTCCCTGCTCCTACATACAGCCCATCTATTTGTGCCAGAATATAGCCAACATGTCGCCAAAATGGGTCCGTTTTATAACGTTTCACATTTTCCCGAGCCCACTTATCTTGTTTCCTGAAAGGGAAATGAGATTTGCATTAGAGGTTTGCTCATTTACACACAAATAAAATGCAGGTATTAGAAAATTTTCTATTTAGACATCTAAGCTAGCATAAATTAAATTTTAGGTTTTATAACATTCCAGTCGCTTAAAGCAGGAGTGGCATCTACTTCCTAACCAACATGCCTCCAGAAACTCTATGAACTTTGATAAAGGTCAATAGTTACAGAAAGGCCTCAGGCCTTTTGTTCATAGGGTTGCTATGAGTTGTGCTTGACTCAGTCGATCAACAACAACAACAGTCACTTGAAAGGAATTGACGACACATCTTAATCTATTTTTAATTTCTACCTGGGGCCATGACAGTTTCTGTAAAGCTTCCTCCAAGCTCTACCTGGAAGTAAAACCTAGGAATGATAATTAGATGTCTGTGACACACTGATATCTGAGAAAGTCAAGGATGAAACATCCAGGCATGTTTCGTATAAAACCATAAAAGCATAATAAAGACATAAAAGCATAATAAAGACAACTTTATTAACTTTCATATGTGTACATGGTCAGACTAAAGAATAGCAAAAACCAGAAAATAATCCTATAGATATTTGCATGTTTATATTTTCTATTACAGTTTATTTCATAGCCATTGGCTAATTCATTTCAGTGTTATTAGTAACTACCTTGATGTCTCTTTCCTAGCATATTAGGCAAAGCTATCTTTTTATTTTTCTGATTGTGTCTTTGCTAAAACTTCTTTTTTCCACTCTCTCTACTATACGAGAGAAAATTTTAGCTTTGTAGGTGGAAATTATTTCTGATTTGTCTCAGAAGATCTCAAAATTAATCTTAGCATCACACAATGTGATTGCTTTCTTGGATCTCATCCAATGGTTTTGACCTATGTTCTGCGGGCCATTAGTGTTTCAGGAAGAGCTTGTTCAACTCTGGTCTCAACGACCAACTCAAGAACACTCTTGTCTTCAAATTCATTTCATAGCTTCTCATTCCACAAATAGAAAATAATTTTTCTAAGCATTTAAGGACTAGTAATATTTTGTTAGACATATTCTACAGAGAATTACGAGAATTATGACCTTAGATATTAGTTAACACATCAGCTGGATTACTCACCAAGCTCATGATAAAGAACCACCTTAGTAAGAGATGGGATCCCAGTAAGAGGGAGAGGAGCCCCAATATGGAAGAGACCCACAGCCTAATTTCTGTCTGCTTTACAATGATGGTGTGTCTTCCTTCTGCTGTGTTAACAATTAATAATGTGATGACCAACCTGTCTTTGAAAGATCTAAAATTAAACGTTGTCTGTAATTCTTGTGCCATTAACAAAACTACTATAGTATACTAACAGAGATCTTAACAAGAGGAAAAACTGCTCTTTGAAGTCACAGATTAATTGTAATTATCCAGCCTTAATGACAATGAGAGAAGAGCTAGTATACATACTCCATAAAATACCGCACTTTATCCAGGATGACAGACTTCTTAATCAGCTGGGGGTAGAGGTTTGTGAAGTGGTCATACATGTGTCTGAAATGATAGATTAAATTGTTACACTTCTATTTTTATCCAGACTGGTAGCTAAACAGAGTATTCTTTATTGTAAACCAAACACACATTTCTAACATGTTGAAAACATAGAATGTGGTAAATACACAAGTATACATTGCTTGGCTTTAATAAAGTCTTGTACTTTGGTATACGTTTTTAAAAAGAAAGGAAAGATTTAGACCTTCAAGTATTCTAGCCTGTAAACTGAAATCCTCTCCCTCTCCCAGCCCCTTCCAGAGGTAACTATAGTCTTGATTCAATAATTTATCACTGTCACGTATGTTTTTCATACCTTCATTACCTATAGATTTAACTGTAAATAATGTACATAGTATTATTTCTCATGCTTCATAACAGAATATAGATGAGAGCATGGAGATTGTGAAGATGGGGCAAGATAGAGCACGGTTTCCATCTTTTTTGTTCATAGGTTCACTATGAGTCAAAGGTTACTCAATGTCATCTAACAATAATGGCAACAACACTTTTAAACTAATTTCTCTTAATATTCTCTTTTTGAGAAATATCTATGTTAATATGTTCAGTTATGATTTATTCTTTTCAACAGCTATTTTGCATTTCCTAAGATAGCATGACAATATAACAATTCATATATACATTCCATGATTCTTCCAATATGATAAACTTTTAATAGGTTTTTAACTTTTCACTATCATAATAAAACTTCAAACATTATTGTAAATAACTCCTTTTACAAATCCACATGTTATTCTAGGACATTTTTCTAAAATTAGAATTACTCAGGTGAATATATATCTTCTTTTTAACTTTTTTAAAAATTACTTTTAATGAAAGTTGACAGAGACTTAGGGTTTCCAGTCATTCATTGTTGCACTTTTCTCCCTGCCCACCCTTCCCCCCATTTACTTTTCTCCTTGAAAAGCAAAAGAAAAACTCTTTCATTGTTATGCAATCCCTCCCCCCCCCAAGTCCACTCCACTGTGCAGCCTTCATTCTGGACTCCTGTTATGACAATAATATCCAGTAATATATCCCTTTTATATATCTCCCTCATCTCTTTCAATGAAGTATACATCATTCCTCTCCTCCTTCTCTGCTTTCCCTCAACCCTGCTGTCAGTCCCATTTTACAACACTGGCCCTATGCAGTATTTGTCCTTTTGTGATTGAGATATTTCACTCAGCATAATGTCCTCCAGGTTCATCCATTTTGCATAATATTTCATGAGTTCCTTATTTTCCAATGTTGCAAAGTATTCCATCCTGTGAATATACCAGAGCTTCTCCATCCATCCGTCCACTGATGGGCACCTGGGCTGCTTCCAGCTCTATGCTATTGCAAACAAAGCCTCAATAAGCATGTGCATATATCTGCTTGGATGGCGGTTATGGTTTCTTTAGGGTAAATTTCCAGTAGTGGAATTGCTGGGTCAAATGGTATTTCTATT